TCATGTGATCATCGACTTGTCATGTGATAAGTGACCCTTGTCATGTGATATGTGACTGCTGTCATGTGATAAATGACTCTTGTCATGTGATAAGCGACTGCTGTCTTGTGATAAGTAACTCTTGTCATGTGATAAGTGACTGCTGTCATGTGATCATCGACTTGTCATGTGATAAGCGGCTGCTGACATGTGATAAGTGACTCTTGTCATGTGATAAGCGACTGCTGTCATGTGATAAGCGACTGCTGTCATGTGATAAGCGACTGCTGTCATGTGATAAGTGACCCTTGTCATGTGATATGTGACTGCTGACATGTGATAACTGACTCTTGTCATGTGATAAGCGACTGCTGACATGTGATAAGTGACCCTTGTCATGTGATATGTGACTGCTGACATGTGATAACTGGCTCTTATCATGTGATAAGCGACTGCTGACATGTGATAACTGACTCGTCATGTGATAAGCGACTGCTGACATGTGATAACTGACTCTTGTCATGTGATAAGCGACTGCTGACATGTGATAAATGACTCTTGTCATGTGATAAGTGACTCTTGTCATGTGATAAGCGACTGCTGTCATGTGATATGAGACGGACATCATGCTATAAGCGTGTGCACTAAATAGTGTATGTTTTGTGTTTGATAAGCCGCTCTGCTAATATCACGCTACATGTGACACGTGCCGCCACCTCCACTCTCCGGGGTCTCTGCTCATAGAATAATGTTGGGGGGGTTGGACCTAAAAGCAGGATTTGTGTTCCTCACCATAAAGTCCATTGAGGGACACGGCTCGCTCCCTCATCCTGACCATAGGGTGTATAGCGCCACCTACAGGAGGACACTAAGAACTCAGCACCGCCTATGGGCGGTCCTAGATGGTATAACCCCGCCTCTCTGCTATAGGCAAACCACTTAGTCAGGCCAGTGAGCGCATGTAGACCTTCAGCTCTGCGCTGGGTTGGCTGGGAGAAGCCCCGTCCTGGACCCCGGGGACACATATAACCCAGCACCTGCTGTCAGTGCTACCTGGGCCAACCCCCTGCCCCGCCCCCACTTTGATTGACAGGGAGGATCAGTGTCGGGAGTGTTACCCATGGATCAGTAAGTAGATGCCCCCCCCCTCTTCCCGCTTATCACATGACAGCAGTCACTTATCACATGATCGGGCATGCGTGGGCCACGGGACAGGCAGACAGAACTAGTTCGCCTATAGCAAGGAGGCGGGGTTATACCAGCTAGGACCGCCCATAGGCGGTGCTGAGTTTCATTTTCAGCTTAGTGTCCTGCTCCTGTAGGTGGCGCTATAAACCCCACGGTGAGGATTAGGAAGAGCCACGCCCGGCAATGAATGGAAGAGAAATGATTTCAGTGAATGGATTCAACGCTAAACACTGCGATCATGTGACCCGGTCAGTCCAAGTTCCTGTTTTACCCCCCCCCCCCTTCCCGGGTCACACCGATCCCGACTTTGAAATCGTGAGAATTACAATGAAGTCGGGTGAGATGCTGATTTCAAGTGCAAATCTCAGAACTGGATGGACAGAAATACAGGCCTTTAGGTTGGGCATGCTGTGTGGCAGAGCTGTGTAAATCCCAGGAATGGATGGACAGAAATACAGGTCTACAGGTTGGGCATGCTGTGTGGCAGAGCTGTGTAAATCTCTGAACTGAATGGACAAAAATACAGGTCTTTAGGCTGGGTGTGGCAGAGCTGTGTAAATCCCAGGAATGGATGGACATCCACACAGGTCTGCAGGTTGGATTTACTATGCACCAGAGCTGTATAAATCTCTGGACTGGATAGACAGAAATACAGGTCTGCAGGTTGGGTGTGGGGTGTGGCAGAGCTGTGTAAATCTCTGGACTGGATAGACAGAAATACAGGTCTGCAGGTTGGGTGTGGGGTGTGGCAGAGCTGTGTAAATCCCAGGACTGGATGAACAGAGATACAGGTCTGCAGGTTGGGTGTGGGGTGTGGCAGAGCTGTGTAAATCCCAGGACTGGATAGACAGAAATACAGGTCTGCAGGTTGGGTGTGGGGGTGTGGCAGAGCTGTGTAAATCCCAGGACTGGATGAACAGAGATACAGGTCTGCAGGTTGGGTGTGGGGTGTGGCAGAGCTGTGTAAATCCCAGGACTGGATAGACAGAAATACAGGTCTGCAGGTTGGGTGTGGGGTGTGGCAGAGCTGTATGAATCTCATGACTGGATGTGGTAAAGATGATTGATCTCAGAGAGGTTTTCATGTTGTATCTCACCCTCTTCACTACTAGAATCTTCCATTTCAAACTTCAGAAACTGGGAAAACAAACAGCAGCGGTCAGCACGGCGCTCCGCGGACATTCCCGGAGTCTCGGCCTGTTTGTCTCCCAGCGGCTGCAGCGGGAGGAGTGAGATGTGGGATCTGCTGACTCGTCGGAATGTTCCGGGAAGGGTTTCCTGGCTCCGGGTGGAGTGAGGATGGAGTTCCTGAGCTGACAGCACGTGCGTTTCTATATCATCGGTTGGTGCGCCGGACGCGTTGTGTCTGGGTTGTCTGCAGCTCAAAAAAGTACCCCCCCCCCCACCCACCGAAACCTGGACTCGCAGCCACTCCGGGGAGGAAACGTGCCGCAGCCATGGCCTGGCATACGCCAAATACGACCCATCGAAGTGACATGCGTGTGGTGGGGGCGCAGCGGGTCGGCATTTTCAGGTGAAAAAAACAGGCAGGCAGTGAGGAGGCAACATATCCAACCCCCCCCCCCCCCCCCATCATGGAGCACTCCTGTCAGAGGGAAGAGGAGCTCCGCCACATGTCAGAGAGGAAGGTAAGTATTAGTCCCTGCGCTGGCACCCCTGCTACCTAAGGATTTACCCTTCCAGGGCAGAGGTAGATGATGCCCAGTTCCTGGAGTGCAGCTGTTGGAGTACCACACACAGCTCGCCACCTACAGCTCAACCCCACCACAGCTCGCCACCTACAGCTCAACCCCACCACAGCTCAACCTCACCAAAGCCCTCCTCCCACGGCTCAACCCACCCACAGCTCGCCACCTACAGCTCAACCCCACCACAGCCCTCCTCCCACAGCTCAACCCACCCACAGCTCACCACCTACAACCCGACCCACCCACAGCTCGCCACCTACAACCCGACCCACCCACAGCTCGCCACCTACAACCCGACCCACCCACAGCTCGCCACCTACAGCTCAACCCCACCAGAGCCCTCCTCCCAGGGCTCAACCCACCCACAGCTCGCCACCTACAACCCAACCCACTCACAGCTCGCCACCTACAGCTCAACCCCACCCACAGCTCACCACCTACAACCCGACCCACCCACAGCTCGCCACCTACAGCTCAACCCCACCCACAGCTCACCACCTACAAACCCGACCCACCCACAGCTCGCCACCTACAGCTCAACCCCACCACAGCCCTCCTCCCACGGCTCAACCCACCCACAGCTCGCCACCTACAACCCAACCCACTCACAGCTCGCCACCTACAGCTCAACCCCACCCACAGCTCACCACCTACAACCCGACCCACCCACAGCTCGCCACCTACAGCTCAACTCCACCAGAGCCCTCCTCCCAGGGCTCAACCCACCCACAGCTCGCCACCTACAACCCGACCCACCCACAGCTCGCCACCTACAGCTCAACTCCACCAGAGCCCTCCTCCCAGGGCTCAACCCACCACAGCTCGCCACCTACAACCCGAACCACCCACAGCTCGCCACCTACAGCTCGACCCACCCACAGCTCGCCACCTACAACCCGACCCACCCACAGCTCGCCACCTACAGCTCAACCCCACCACAGATCTCCTCCCACGGCACAACCTACCCACAGCTCGCCTCCCACGGCTCAACCCCACCACAGCCCGTCTTTCCTAGCTCAATCCTATCACAGCTCGCCTCCCGTGGCCCGACCCCGCCGCAGCTCGCCTCCCGCGACCCGACCCCGCCGCAGCTCGCCTCCCGCGGCCCAACCCCGCCGCAGCTCGCCTCCCGCGGCCCGACCCCGCCGCAGCTCGCCTCCCGCGGCCCGACCCCGCCGCAGCTCGCCTCCCGCGGCCCGACCCCGCCGCAGCTCGCCTCCCGCGGCCCGACCCCGCCGCAGCTCGCCTCCCGCGGCCCGACCCCGCCGCAGCTCGCCTCCCGCGGCCCGACCCCCGCCGCAGCTCACCACCATACACAGAATCTCACAGTCATACACAGAACACGGAGTCCTTGTTACAAACATACGCTTTATTGGGGAGATTTCTTCCTAGCCCCTCACATCTCCAACTCCCTCTACTGTTAGGGTAGAGCATTAATCACAGTCTGATGGGTGGGGGGGGGGCAGTGCAGAGTGAAGGATGCTGGGAGATGAGGAGAGGGGCTTTCTTTTCACAGCTCGGGATTATAGAACACAAACTAAAACATACATGAAATAAATAAACGTACGATGAAGGAACGCTCTGCTACAGAAGAAGTCACGTCCACTTGTGATTGTATCGAGGATCCATCCATCCATCCCACAGATGTATCGTCCATCGACAGCAACGGCCCACCACGGTCACTGGTCACACGGTGTACATAAAACCGACTAAGACGAGCGTTGGACGTCAAAATCGAATATGAATACACTGCGAGTCCGGACACAAACATCCTCTAGTGGGGGGGTCCACAACCCAACGGGATGGGCGGAGCCCTCACCTCCTCCCTAGGCAGCCATGATTGAGAAGGGAAATATTAAAGCAGAGGGGGGGGGCAAAGATCAGGACGTAGTCAAGTGACCGATTCCGGATACAGGAAATAAATATCCACGTCAGCAGCGATTCTGTCCAATATGGCGTCTCTATTGTACCTCGCGTCGCACAGTTTGGAAGTCTTTATCGGGGGGCGGTCTGTGCGTCCCTTCCCCATGACTCTCCTCTGGCTCCCTGTCCCGGGAGCACGGCGTGGGGGGCGGATGTTGGTAGAGGAGGGTACAGCATGGCAGGCAAGGGCGGTAGCCAGTGTCAGACCTCACAGAGTACGACAGGGAAGTCCACATGGATGCACGGGTGGTCTAACTTGATGGTGCCCTGTGGGGGAGGGGAGGAGAGTGAGGACAGTGTAAGGACCGAGATTCATTGGACCAATCAGATTCATTGACAGTTACAATGTTCCAATCACATTCAGGATTTGGTCATTTGTTGCTACAGGCCTAAATGTGATTGGTGGATACAAAGCATCAAGTATACATTATAAACATCATGTGATAACATTCACAGAATAAAAACAGATACATCCCACCGTGGCGTCACACATCCCCTCGTGGCGTCACACATCCCGGGAGTCTCCATGAGGGGAGGAGGGGTTTTCTCAGCTAAGCACACCATCCTGCCTGCATGACTGAGCTAAGGGCAGATGGATTCCGGTAAGTAAATGCTACACTAATCTGCCCTTACTCAAGATGGCCACGGCTAGAGATGCTTGGGGGAGAGGGAGGGGGGGGGGTTCATAGTGTTCATAGTGATTTCTCAGCATGGAGGGGGGAGTTTACTTTGAATATTAAAAATTACCCTTTGATAAATTAAATAGCACTTTGTTTGTTTGTGGTGCTCAGATACAGTTTACTTTAACCCCCCCCCCCCCCCCCCCCCCCAGAGGCCGTAGAGAATAAAATGGTGGGTGTCACAATTTTTTTTTATGTCACGTTATTTGCGCAGCGGTTTTTCAAACGCAATTTTTTTTTGCGCCAGCTGAAAAATAAAAAATGATACCGGATGATGGCTGCAGCTGTCAAAAAACGCCCCCTAGTGACTTCAATGCAAAAAACGCCCCCTAGTGACTTCAATGCAAAAAACGCCCCCTAGTGACTTCAATGCAAAAAACGCCCCCCTAGTGACTTCAATGCAAAAAACGCCCCCTAGTGACTTCAATGCAAAAAACGCCCCCTAGTGACTTCAATGCAAAAAACGCCCCCTAGTGACTTCAATGCAAAATCGCATCTCATAGATTTATATTCAAAGCCGCTTCCCTATAGACTTTAATGCAAAAATGCCCCCTAGTGACTTTAGTGCAAAATTGCATCTCTCACAGGCTTAAATGCAAAGTCACGTCCTCATTGACTTTTATGCAAACACGCCGCCCTAGTGACTTAAATGCAAAATTGCATCTCATAGACTTACATGCAAAGTCGCATCCTCCTTGACCTTAATGCAAAAAATGCCCCCCTAGTGAAATCAATGTAAAGTTGTGTCTCATAGACTTACATGCAAAGTCGCACCTCTACTGATAAAATGCAAAAAATGCCCCCTAGTGAAATCAATGCAAAGCCGCGTCTCATAGACTTATGTGCAAAGTCACTCCCATGATGCAAAAATGCCCCCTAGTGACTTAAATGCAAAATCACGTCTCATGGACTTTCATGCAAAGTCACTTCCCTATAGACTTTACTGCAAAAACGCCCCCTAGTGACTTCAGTGCAAAATTGCATCTCATAGACTTACAGTTGTACTCAAAAATTTTCCTCCCCCAGCAGAAATTGTGAAATTTTGGCATTGATATTGAAAATCTGACTGATCATGCTAAAAAATACTCTTTTATTGAAGGATGATGATCCTATGAAGCCATTTATTATTAAATAGTTGTTTGGCTCCTTTTTAAATCCTAATGATAACAGAAATCACCCAAATGGCTCAGATCAGAAGTCTCCGCGTCTCATAGACTTACATGCAAAGTCACTTCCATAATGCAAAAACGCCCCCTAGTGACATCAATGCAAAATTGCGTCTCATAGACTTACATGAAATGTCCTCATTGACAGTAATGCAAAAAACGCCCCCTAGTGACATCAATGCAAAATTGCCAGCCACATTAAATTTACAAAAAATGTTACAAAATCTGTCCGTTTCGGTTTTCAGCCAAGTGCATCCTGAACTTTCGGTTTCAGCACCAGAATGTTTGGTGCAACACTACTAATTGCGCACGCTCCTGGAATAGTAAACTACGGTACTTAAAAATTTCCATGGGGGATGCTTTAAAATGTTAAGTTACAGAAGTCTGGTGCAAGAATTATCGCTCTCGCTAGAACGTTCGTTGTGATACCCCACATGTGTGGTCCTAACACCGTTTACATGTGTGCCCGTGACCTACGTATGCATTTGTGAGCTCGGAGGGACAGGGCACTTTCATTTTTTTTTTTTTTTTATTATTTATTTTATTCCTTTTTTTTTTTTTTACACTGTCCCTTTAAATCTTTTTTTTTTAAATCAAATTTATTGCTATGACAACATGTACACATCCTTTGCGATAACAATAAAGCAAGACAGGTGCTCTTTTTGGAGAGTCTATTAGGCTAGGTTCAGCCATGTGAGCCGCGATTTGCACGGGCGCAAGAGAACCTTCATCTGATTGGGCTGCCCTGACCCGGGACACGCAGGAAAGAAGCCCCTGCACTATTTTTGAAATCGCAGCCCGCGCGGGAACCGAGGACGGTTGTGATTTCCAGTGAGGGCGGTGTGCCACCCCTGGGTCCTGCGTTGCTCTGTGTGGGTGGTTGCAGCCGTCAGTATTTGTCGCACAGCGGCACCACCATCATAGATACGAACGACTCCACATCTCTCCGCTACAATGGAAACCATTAGATCAAAAAAAAAAAAACACGTTTATCCAATGCTTTCCAAAAAAAAAAAAAAAAAAAAAGCAAATGGCCTTGTTTACATTGGGCCAGAGCTGGAGGTGACGTCATGCCGTCGCTCCCGTCCACCTAGGTCACAGAAATGAGTGGAGGCCATCTTTCCTCTGCTAATCTCCACTGATCAGCCAGGTAAGCCTGATAATCACCGCAAAGTGGCAGGAGAGGAGCCGATGCGCAAGACCGGAGGGTAGGAAGCAGTGCAAGACCGAAGGGGGGGAGCCGGTGCAAGACCGAAGGGGGGGAGCCGGTGCAAGACCGAAGGGGGGGAGCCGGTGCGCCTGTGCAAGACCGAAGGGGAGGAGCCGGTGCGCCTGTGCAAGACCGAAGGGGAGGAGCCGGTGCGCCTGTGCAAGACCGAAGGGGAGGAGCCGGTGCGCCTGTGCAAGACCGAAGGGGAGGAGCCGGTGCGCCTGTGCAAGACCGAAGGGGAGGAGCCGGTGCGCCTGTGCAAGACCGAAGGGGAGGAGCCGGTGCGCCTGTGCAAGACCGAAGGGGAGGAGCCGGTGCGCCTGTGCAAGACCGAAGGGGAGGAGCCGGTGCGCCTGTGCAAGACCGAAGGGGAGGAGCCGGTGCGCCTGTGCAAGACCGAAGGGGAGGAGCCGGTGCGCCTGTGCAAGACCGAAGGGGAGGAGCCGGTGCGCCTGTGCAAGACCGAAGGGGAGGAGCCGGTGCGCCTGTGCAAGACCGAAGGGGAGGAGCCGGTGCGCCTGTGCAAGACCGAAGGGGAGGAGCCGGTGCGCCTGTGCAAGACCGAAGGGGAGGAGCCGGTGCGCCTGTGCAAGACCGAAGGGGAGGAGCCGGTGCGCCTGTGCAAGACCGAAGGCCAGAGGGAGGATTTAAAACTTTATTTTTTTTTTACAATTATCTTTTCAGACACGTCATGTAATTTATTTGTTAAGGCCATCATTATAGGGGTGAACCCCCCCACCCCTGACTTCCTGCACTGGTGACCCCACAGGAAGTGATGGCAAAGCTCAGCAACAGGCACACAGACTGCAATAAACCCGACAGAGTTGTGAACTCTTCTCTGTCCGCAACCTCCCCGAGCCGCGTTCTTCCAGCCAGGACTGCGGTCATTACCTGTGGCCGCAGGTTCTTGTGAATGCGTTTGAGTTTCGCCCGCTTGCGGCCATTTTTTGTCACGATTGTTTCCTCGTAGAATTCGTGCGCCAAATCTCCGTCCTCATCGAAGAACATGGAGCTGTGGGGAGAGAGGGAAGGAGAGAGAGCGGGACGGTGAGCATACAGGCGATCAGACATGAGGACACGCAGGACAGGATTTTATAAAAGACGGCCTGTAGCCCCGGCGGGGAAAAACATCTATTTTTACCCTCTTCCCAACCGCGCTATAGCGAAAGATGGCTACAGCGCGGTCGTCTAGTTCTGGGAGGGATGTGCATGGATGTCCTCCCAGAACACGCCCCCTGTGCCGCCGGTGATCGTTGTGTCCTACAGACACAGCTGACCATGTGATGTGGTAAAAGGCCAATCACAGCAGCCTTTTACCATGTGATCAGCCGCTTCCAATGACACGGACGTTCAGCGGGTAAATGCAGTTGCCGGTTGTCGGCTGCACTTTCCTCACCCTGTCACAGCGTGAGGAAAGAACTGCCGATAACCGGCAGTTGTCAGAGCTCAGATCGGCACTGATGATCAGTGCCACCCACCTGTGCCACTCACCTGTGATCAGCAGTGCCACCCACCTGTACCCACCTGTGCCACCCACCTGTGCCCAGGAATGCCACTCACCTGTGCCCAGGAGTGCCACCCACCTGTGTCACCCACCTGTGCCCAGCAGTGCCACCCACCTGTACCACCCACCTGTGCCCAGGAATGCCACTCACCTGTGCCCAGCAGTGCCACCCACCTGTGCCCAGCAGTGCCACCCACCTGTCACCCACCTGTGCCCAGCAGTGCCACCCACCTGTGCCACCCATCAGCGCTGCCCATCCTGAGATGCCCACATCATGCATCCCAAGAGGCTTTGGGTCACTTTCCACCACATTTCCCATCATACTTCATCAGGAGTCAGTCCAAAGAACCGGAAAAGTCAGACTGCCTCCTGATGATGTCAGAAAGGAAAATGGTAGCACATGAAATGGGCGTGGACCAATGGCTTACACCAATGAGGGATGTTCTGGGCTGGTGAGCATGCTCTTTAAAGAATACTTTGCTTTCAAGGTAAGAGGGACAACAAAATTAAAAAGGGGGGGGGGGGAAATGCAGTTAAAAGCCCCCATCTCTCCCAGCCCTAAGAGACAGACTTAGGGATGGGCCCCGGAGGGGTATTAGTAATGGTGGAGTTCCACCTCATTCCTGATAGGAGGACGTGTTGGGACATTCCTCTAAGCCGTGGGTGGCCATCTTCGACCCTCTTGAAGGAACTACAAGTCCCACGATGCATGGCAACGCTGAGAGCCACAAGTATGGACCCCAGAGGATGGATGAGGGATGATGGGATTTGTAGTTTCACCTCTGATCTGATCATTTCTATGAAGCGTGACTTTGGATGAACCATTTATCCTGCAGGTGATGTTTGCTCTGCAGTTGTCAATGATCTGTGGAGTCAGCAGAAGGTTGCTCCGCCTGCACTGGGAAGTCACTGAAGGTCCAATAAAGGAGGAGCGCCCCCTGCAATATAAACGCCGATAAGGAGTCGCCTTCTTCTGTATCTCGGACTTCACCCCTTTGTGAAGTTAATGATAAACAAGGAGCGCGGCAGCTGGAAGGCGACACACAGAGAGTTCAGGTTCCTCCAGATATCCGATAAGAACATGAGACGTGAGATCTGAGAACTCCTCCCCCCCCCTCCCCCGACCTGGGACTACACAAACCCTCCACTATATAGATGTGGATTCAAAGGGAACAGGTCAGGACAGAGATATGGAAATGCCATTTGCTGACTTGGTTGAGCGGGGGGGGGGGGGGGCCTTATCCAAAGTGGGTCAATGACCTGGAAGGTTCTGGGGCTTATCAGATGTCCTGACCCCCGACCCCCCCTGCCCCGCCCATACTCCACTCCAACCTGGTTCTGGCTCAGATTGATGACTCAGCAGGGGGAGGAAAGGGATGGAGATGACGTCTCTGGAGCTCCAACAAATCAGGACGCTCATCTCTGTCATGACTCTTAGAGGGGGTCACCGGCTGTGAGATTTCCCCACCATGGTCCCATGGGTCTGTCCCCGCCCTCCTCTAGTGTGCTCCTGCTCCTCCCATCACATTCTCAATGATATGGTATGTGCAGGCCCAGCAAGGGAGGAGACAAAGACCCCATGTATGAGGGCGAGGTGTGGGAGGTCTATTATAGAGGTAGAGAAGGGGGAGGGGGGGTGTAGATATGACCCAATATAGGGAGAGGGGTGTAGAGGACGGAGGTGAAGGGGACCAGAGACACAATGTAGGAGGACCAAAGGAAATAAAAGGACCAAATGTAAAGGATGGGGGGGGATGAGGGACCCAATATATGAGGACGGGGGGGGAATACACAGACCCCAATCTATGAGGATGTGGGGGGGGGGGGTGTAGAGGACGGAGGTGAAGGGGACCAGAGACCCAATGTGAGAGGACATGGGAGTAATATAAAAAGCCCAATATAAAGGATGGGTGGGGGTGGGAGGAGGTGTCAGAGACATAATGTACAAGAATATGGGGGGGGGAATTAAAGATCTAATGTACAATGAGAGTAGTGTGCGTGTATGTGTGTGGGGGGGGGGGGGGCTGAAGGCATGGTCCAAACCCAAGGTAGAGGACTGGGAGAGAAGGGGTAAGACGCACAATGTAGGAGGGTGGGGGGGAACCTAGAATCAATGAGTAAAGACATGGGGGGGGGGGGGGGGGGCAGAGGACCAATGTAAAGGATAAAGCGGGGGTGTGGGAGGAGGAGACCCAATGTATGAGGACAGAGGTGGTGGGGGGAAGGGGAGGATAAATGTATAAATACGGGGGGGGGGATGGGGGAACAAACCTAACAGGGTTAGGATGCAATATATGACTGGGAAATGCGGATGGGGGGGGTTCACAGATCCAAAGCATGAGGATGGATGGGGGGGGGGGGGCAGAGGGGCGCAAAGTCAATGTAAGTATGAGGATGAATAAGGGGGAGAGTCAGACATCCAATGCAGGAGGATTTGCGGGGTATATGAGGAGTTGGGGGGGTTATGAGGATGTTGAGGGGGGGGTATATGAGGATGTTGGGGGGGGGGGGGGGTATATGAGGATGTTGGGGGGGGGGGTATATGAGGATGTTGAGGGGGGGGTATATGAGGATGTTGAGGGGGGGGTATATGAGGATGTTGAGGGGGGGGGGGTATATGAGGATGTTGAGGGGGGGGTATATGAGGATGTTGAGGGGGGGGGGGGTATATGAGGATGTTGAGGGGGGGGGGTATATGAGGATGTTGAGGGGGGGGGTATATGAGGATGTTGAGGGGGGGGGTATATGAGGACTGTTGAGGGGGGGGGTATAATGAGGATGTTAGTTGAGGGGGGGTTTATGAGGATGTTGAGAGGGGGGGGGTATATGAGGAAATGTTGAGAGGGGGGGGTATATGAGGATGTTGAGGGGGGGGGGGGGTATATGAGGATGTTGAGGGGGGGGGGTATATGAGGATGGGGAAGGAAGAGGTCAGGGATGCAATCTATGAGGGATGGGGGGGGGGGGGATGGAAGGGGGTTTGCAGAGATCCAATGGGGGATGGGGGGGGGGGTTCAGAAACCCAATGTACATCGACAAAGGAGTTGGGGGGGGATGGGGGAGTACAGTAGAGATCTGATATATGATGACAACCAATCAGCTGACAGCTTTCATTTTCAAAGATTAACTGAATAATCTGCAGCTTAAAAGCTGATTGGTTGCCATATACAGCCCCCAGACCCCCCCCATGTACCAGACAAGGTGACACACTATGGGGGGGTAGATACAATGTATCAGGCTGGTGACAGGTGGACATACAATGTATCCATTAATTGGGGGCAGATATAGGGGTTTATGGGGGGGGGTGACGCTCAGGTGGCACACAATGTATGGGGGGTGTTGTAGGCATGCCAACCAATGAACCTTCTCCTCCCTCCCCCCGGTGATCGGATCCTCGCCCCTATCACGGGTCACACACCCCCGCCGGGTGAAGTATGAAGGGCGTCGCCTTGCCTGGATACCCGGACACACTGCTGCTCGCTGATGGAGGGCCTCCTCGGGCCCCTGGGAGGAAGAGGGAAAGTGGCCACAGATCCCCGGGCTCTGGATCCGCTGCCGCCCATGTCGGTCACTCCGGGAGTCGCCGCGCCCCCGTCCCGGATTGTCCCCCCTCACCATCCCGGTCTTCCTGTCCACTCTGCGCTCCGCTGCCTCCCCTGCGTCACCCGCCCCCCCCCCCCCACGCCACCCCGTGACCCGCTGCCAATCAAGCGGGCCGGGAAAGGTGGGCGGGGATGGAGCTGTACCATGAGCGAGGCGAGGTAGCGCCAAGACACGTCGACCGTCGGGACAGCCGGGCTGACGTTCCACGTGAACCTCATGTGCTGATACAATGTAGCGATGTTCCCCGAGGTGCCGTTCCTGAACTCTATTGGCTGGGAGGGCCTGGTAACGTTCAATGACAGTCCCCAGGAGAGTGGCAGGGTAGTGGGGAGGGGCTATTGGCGCTCCACGTCTATAAGCTTAATTTAGGCTCTCTCCGGGGTGAACGTTACGTCCATGCTGCATGACCGGCCCGGCTCTATGGTAGGTTTAATAGTCACGTGACACGCCTTCCTCCTCCCCGAACATGCAATATATTCCCAACGCCTACCAGCACCGTAACTTTGTTACCCGCCCAAGTGCCCCGCTGACGAATCAGGAAGCGGTTATTAAAGCAGAATGGCCCGCCCCATATTGTTCCCGGGGGGGCGGGAGCTCGATCAGGTTAGTAAGGGAAAGGCGGGATTAGTATGAGGCCGCCCAACAGCGCCGAACTTCTGCCTCTCTCCACCGGCTAGCTGACACAACCCCGGCACCCACTGATCTGCAGCCGGAGCAAGCACCGCCCCTAGGATGGAATATGGGAGCGAGACACATCAGCTAAAAGTCCTAAAGGGTTCGGTTCTACACTCGGTAGTATGTGCTGAGGCTGTCAGTGTACACCGCGAGCAGGCAAGCACGTAGCGCCACGCCACACAGTGTCCCAATCCGGCCAGCACCATGACCTCTCCGACACACCGCCCCCTCCTACTTATCATGCAACACACCAGCCAGTAGACGCTACCGACCATGGGAGTAGCATCAGGGCCAGCCCCGCTCTCTTTCCAGCCCCCGCCCTTGTACAACCCACCTCCACACCTCGACCTCTTCCCCTTAACAACATCTCACTGTCTACCCCCTCTCACTACTTTGTCTGTGTAGTATTGCACACCACGTTGTGTATCAATATCAAATAAATTAGTGAGAAGATAACTTAATGAACAGGGGCTCTTTTCTCTCCAGGTAGAAGTGGTTTGAGAATCAGGACAATACCACAATATGGCCACTAGATGGAGCTGCAGTCCCATAGTTAATCAGTATTCATGACTTGATACCTCATTCGCCATCTTAGTGCCAACTAATGATGGTATCTCGAGGCTCCTGAGTCACATTTCCACCTGCAGAGAAAAACAGCCTAAAAACAATTGAATTTTGACCCCCATATATAGACGCACCTGCACAGGACGAATAATCCACTGAAATGATTCGTCAATTTAAAAACACAGAGCATGTCATATGAGTGTTATATAATGACACAACAGGAACATGGGGGGGGGGGGGAGGAGAAAAAAAAAAACAATGGTGGGTAAAGGGGGCCGCCTATATGGTGACACACCCACCCGATGCTCAGCCTCACTACACCTATATGGCCGAAGTTGGTCTTCCGGTTAACTGGGAGGGGTTAAACCTATGGGTGCCCACACATGGAAGATCAAATATATCTTAAAATATTATTTAAAATAATATACTTCCCACATATATTGACGTATATTATGAAATGCTACCAAGTTTAGCTCAGTATACAATGTATTTCAATATATATATATATCTAAATACAGTAGTATGACAATGCGTATTATATATACAAAATATATGAACAATATTTTTAAAAATACATTTCACAATATACTGGTATGTCCTAAAATTACCAAATCTACCATTTTTGGAAATGCATTTACAAATATTATGTTCAAAATGACTTTTGTTAATAGGTTTAAAAAAAATCTGAAGAATATAATTTTTAAAAATTGTATTTTTTTTTTTAATTTAATTTCTTCGATATTTTTTTTTTTTAACATATATAAAAGTAATTTTTTACATATATTATTTAAATGCATTTCCAAAAATGTAGATTTGTATTTTTAAGGACATGCAGTATATTTGAAAATGTAACTTTGTAAACTATATTTTTCATATTATTTTGTAATAAAAACGGATTTCAAACATGCCAGTGTGTATGTATATATATATATAAATATAATATTTTTTATTGAAATATATTTTGAAAATATATTGATAACAACCAAAATTGATAGTCGATTCACATATATGTCCTATATATTTTGGTAATAATGAATTATAAAAATATATTTTTCTTCCATAACTGGGGTGTGTTTTTTTAACAGGTGGACTGATTTCCACATGGGCTGATGAATGAACACAACAAAAAAGACCTTTGGGGTGGAGCTAATCCTGGAGCAAACTGCATTGCACATTCAATCTGTGTGAATGGGAAAGAAAAAAAAAAATCAAAAGGTATTGGGCGGATTTTAATCTCCAGTAGTATGAATGTGAAACCAGGAAAGAGACCATCAATGATGGTCCACTAGTTGGAGCTGATGTTTACAAAAATATATAAATATTTATTATTAAAGAAACGGAAAGAAAAGCTTCTTTTCTCTCCAGTGGAATGTGACGAATCAGGAAATAATACCACATTGTGGCCACTAGATGGAGCTGAAGTCCATAGAAAATCAGGTCCGTCAGCGCCATCTAGTGGCCATATTGTAGTATTCTCCTGATTCACACATTCCAGGTCTATTTTACAAATAATATATTATTTTTTTGGATACCATAAACCATCCTCCTTTTCCTTTTCTTGCTATTATATGAGGACGTAATTATAAAAATTTGCAATCTGTTTTGTGTCCATTGAAAAATGCTTAAATTCGTCCTGTGTGAACTGTCAGAATCGAATGTCCCGAGGCTATTGCAGGTATCTTCCACATTCAATCTGCAGACCTATGAGTCTGGAAAGTACCGCATTACGGCCACTACATGGAGCTGGTGAGCATGCAGCTTATTTTCTATGGTCATTAGCTCCATCTAGTGGCCACAATGTGGTATTTTCCTGATTCACACGTTCCACCTGCAAAGGTTTATTTTACATTTGATGTTCATTTGTTTTGTTTGGTTTTTTTTTGCATACCATGAACATCCTTTTTATCTTTTCTTTTTCTTACTATTGCATAGAGTTGTGTTTTTTAAAAATGGCATAGCTGTTCGTCCATCGCAGCTGCGTGTAAATTTGTTCTGTCGGCCAATGGGGCAAAATCGAATGTCCTAGGGCTATATTCTCTGTAGGTGGAAAATACCGCTTTGTGGCCACTAGTTGGTGCTGAGGAATGCACTTATTTCCTATGATAGTCAGTGCCATCTAGTGGCCACAATGTGGTATTTTCCCATTCACATGTTCAATGTCAGAGAATAAAGCCTTAGAGAATTTGATTTTGCCGCACTGGCACAGCAACAAATGTATGTTTTTATAAATACACCCCCTAGTGTGGGGATATGTTGAGTGAATCATTTCCTCTGACTGCTTTCTTTTTATATGTTCCCAGCTGTGTGACTGGGGGTCCCAGGGGCCCTTGTGGGGTCTCTATGACCCCCTCAATGATTGGAGGTGAAAGCTGGATTATTACCTCTTCTCATCTTCATCTCTTTCAGGTTTGATGTTGGCGGCGGAATGCACACTGTGTTTGACCAACCAGCTTCTTTCTCCCATGGGTCAGCCAATCCCGGAGCCATTGGCAATGTTGGGTTGTGACAAGGTCCATGTCATTGGAAGATCCTCATAGGTCATGTGACTATATAGCATCTACGTATAGGATGTTTTCACCGCGATGATGTCACATGACCATGCACAGCCAATGTGGTGAAATTTGGCAGTGCAATGATGTCATGTGATCCTCCTGAGCCAGGAGAGTAAATGTCATGCGATCATTTATATCCAATGCAGTGAAAGCAGGCAATGTGATGAGGTCATGTGATCATTTATATCCAATGCAGTGAAAGCAGGCAATGTGATGAGGTCATGTGATCATTTATATCCAATGCAGTGAAAGCAGGCAATGTGATGAGGTCATGTGATCATTTATATCCAATGCAGTGAAAGCAGGCAATGTGATGCGGTGCGATTCCTGTGTGAATTACATGTGGTGTCCCGCACTGCAGAGTGTGAACCCAGAATGTATATTCTTGCCGAATCTCGGTGTGATTTGTGTGTTTCTCCCAGATCTGTGCCGTGATCCAGTGTGAGAATTCCTGGAATAAAGACCGCCCACTGCTGCCCTCTCTCCTTGTGCAGGGGGACTGGTCTAGTCTCCGCTCCCTCTTATAGTCTCTGCCTGTAGTGGGTGGAGCCTGCTTGTCCCCTCCCACAGCTCTGCTCTCTCTCCTTGTGCAGGGTGACTGGTCTTGTCTCCACCCCCTCAAGTGGGTGGGGCCTGCTGGGCTCCTCCCAGTTTCACTTTCTCCTTGTGCAACGTGACTGGTCTTGTCTCCACCCCCTCCTCTAGAGGGTGGGGCCTGCAGGGCCCCCCCACAGCTCCACTCTCTCTCCTTGTGCAACGTGACTGGTGTTGTCTCCACCCCCTCATCAAGCAGGTGGGGCCTGCAGGGCCCCTCCCACAGCTCTGCTGTTTCTCCTTGTGCAGGGTGACTGGTCTTGTCTCCACCCCCCCTCATCAAGCGGGTGGGGCCTGCAGGGCCCCTTCCACAGCTCTGATGTTTCTCCTGGATTTGTCTCCGCCCCCTCCTGTAGTCTCTGCTTGCAGCCTGTAGTGGGTGGAGTCTGCTTGTCCCCTCCCACAGTTCTGCTCTCTCACCTTGTGCAGGGTGACTGGTCTTGTCTCCACCACCTCAAGTGGGTGGGGCCTGCCGGGTCCCTCCCACAGCTCCACTCTCTCTCTCTCCTTGTGCAGGGTGACTGGTCTTGTCTCCACCCCCTCCTCAAGAAGGTGGGGTCTGCTGGGCCCCTCCATTTCTTCTTGTGCAGGGTGACTGGTCTTGTCTCCATCCCCTCAAGCGGGTGGGGCTTGCCGGGCCCCTCCCCCAGCTCCGCTCTCTCTCCTTGTGCAGAGTGACTGTTCTTGTCTCCACCCCTCTTGTAGTTTTCTACAGGCAGCCTGTGGTGGGTGGAGCCTGCTGGGCCCCTCCCACAGCTCTGCTCTCTGCACCAACTATGCACAGCAGAATGATGATGTCACTGCTACTTTTACAAGGTAATATCTGGGTTTGCATGTATTTGGGGCATACAAACGTACAATCATATCCTTTGGGGCTAATGAGGAATGTATTTAAATGTGCCCAGAGATAGATCTATACTCAAAAAAAAAACCAGACAGACTCGATGGACCACTCGGTCTTTTTCTGCCATCTATATTCAAATAAATTTCAGTGTTGGGAGGAGTAGGAAAGGAGTGGAACCCCTGTCAGGTTTTTATTCCCTGTCTGTGCAAATTGTCCCCAAGACAGGAAGTGATGGGAACTCCAAGATTGTACCGTTGTCACCAGAACAGGAACAAAAGCGGAAATCTTCCAATGGAGACGTTGGTTCTGACAGTTCTCTCACTTTGGAGGGATTTCCTCTCACTTCCTGTTGTGTCTCTGGGACAGGAAGTGATGGGAACGCCAAGATTGTACCATTGTCACCAGAACAGGAAGAGACCAGAACAGGAAGAGAGGCGGAAATCTTCCAATGGAGACGTTGGTTCTGACAGTTCTCTCACTTTGGAGGGATTTCCTCTCACTTCCTGTTGTGTCTCTGGGATAGGAAGTGATGGGAACGCCAAGATTTTACCGTTGTCACCAGAACAGGAAGAGAGGCGGAAATCTCCCAATGGAGATGCTGGTTCTGACAGTTCTCTCACTTTGGAGGGATTTCCTCTCACTTCCTGTTGTGTCTCTGGGACAGGAAGTGATGGGAAAGCCAAAACTGTACCGTTGTCACCAGAACAGGAAGAGAGGCGGAAATCTCCCAATGGAGATGTTGATTCTGACAGTTCTCACTTTGGAGGGATTTCCTCTCACTTCCTGTTGTGTCTGTGGGACAGGAAGTGACGGGAACGCCAAGATTGTACCGTTGTCACCAGAACAGGAAGAGAGGCGGAAATCTTCCAATGGAGACGCTGGTTCTGACAGTTCTCTCACTTTGGAGGGATTTTCTCTCACTTCCTCTTGAGTCTCTGGGATAGGAAGTGATGGGAACGCCAAGATTTTACCGTTGTCACCAGAACAGGAAGAGAGGCGGAAATCTTCCAATGGAGACACTGGTTCTAACAGTTCTCTCATTTTGGAGGGATTTCCTCTCACTTCCTGTTGTGTCTCTGGGACAGGAAGTGACGGTGAATCTTATCAGTGGGGACACAGGCAGTAGACCAACAAGACGCAAAACTGAACCAAGACATTTTGGATGGATTGTTAGGATGTAGATCCCTCCCCCCCCCCCCCCCCCCCCCCCCCAAAAAAAAAAAAAACCTCCTATAGAGAACCGATTCCCTGTAAGGCCTGAGCAGTTCATCTTTAATCGTACAAACATCACATATCAAGTGCATCATAAACACAACAACGTATAAAAAACAACGACAACGTATAAAAGTGCTGACAGGCAGCCGTGTCCCCAGGTGAACCTAAATGGGGTGACATTACATCGCCCCCTATGTGCCCGCCTTACTCCTGCATCCGGTGGTAGCAGACCAGAGTGGGCCGGTCCACACTCCCACCCCTGTACATTCAGGCCGTCACAGAAATGGACCGGTCCTGAATTCTCCCTGAACTCTGCAGCCGTGGAACGTGTCATAAGTCAGTGTAGTGTCACCGTCCGGCCGCTGACATCTTCTCGTGTCCCACGCAGACACTCTCGCTCTCTCCCGCTCACTCACATACGCCCCCCGGCGGGGCCATCGGAACGCCCATCGTGCCGGGTACGCGCACCTCCCCCACACTCAGACTCCAGTCACACCGCGTTTTGCGTCTTCGGGATCAGTCTCGCAGTCTTCATGCGCTCTTTTTTTTTTTTTCCGGCGGGGTCGTCAGCCGGGGGTGCGTTCCGTCAGGGCCTCCTGCATTTGTTGGCGGCAGCGGGTGTAGCGCTGGATGATCTGGCGCATGTGCTCCTCTTCCTCCCGCTGCAGGATGCGCAGGAAGTTCTGGAGCTCCGGCATGCTGAAGGCGTCCCACTGCAAGAGACAAACATTGGTTAGTGGAGATATATTCTCTTCTGAATGAACTTGCGGTAGGATCATACCACATCATGGCCATTAGATGGCGCTGAGGAGCGCAGGAAATTCATCTGTGTAACAAGAGATACAATGTAACAATTTTAGAAAACGCTAGAGGGAATTAACAAATAACAAAGCATTAAAGACTGATGTATTTCCTATGCTCCTCAGCACCATCTAGTGGTCATAAGACTGGAGGGGAGGAGCCGGTACACCTGTGCAATACTGGAGGGGAGGAGCCGCTATACCTGTACAAGACTGGAGGGGAGGAGCCGCTACACCTGTGCAAGACTGGAGGGGAGGAGCCGCTACACCTGTGCAAGCCTGGAGGGGAGGAGTCGGTACACCTCTGCAAGACTGGAGGGGAGGAGTCGGTACACCTGTGCAAGACTTATAGGGAGGAGCCGGTACACCTGTGCAAGACTGGAGGGGAGGAGCCGATACACCTGTGCAAGACTGAAGGGGAGGAGTCGGTACACCTGTGCAACACTAGAGGGGAGGAGTTGGTACACCTGTGCAACACTGGGGGGAGGAGTCAGTACACCTGTGCAAGACTGGCGGGCGGGGAGGAGCCAGTACACCTGTGCAATACTGAAGGGGAGGAGCTGGTACACCTGTGCAAGACTGGAGGGGAGGAGCCGGGGTACACCTGTGCAAGACTGGAGGGGAGGAGCCGGTACACCTGTGCAAGACTGGAGGGGAGGAGCCGGTACACCTGTGCAAGACTGAAGGGGAGGAGCCGGTACACCTGTGCAAGACTGAAGGGGAGCAGTCGGTACACCTGTGCAACACTGGAGGGGAGGAGTCGGTACACCTGTGCAAGACTGGAGGGGAGGAGTCGGTACACTTGTGCAACACTAGAGGGGAGGAGTTGGTACACCTGTGCAAAACTGAAGGGGGGCAGCAGGTACACCTGTGCAAGACTGAAGGGGAGGAGCCAATACACCTGTGCAATACTGGAGGGGAGGAGCTGGTACACCTGTGCAAGACTGGCGGGGAGGAGCTGGTACACCTGTGCAAGACTGGCGGGGAGGAGCCAGTACACCTGTGCAAGACTGGAGGGGAGGAGCCAATACACCTGTGCAAGACTGAAGGGGAGGAGCCAGTACACCTGTGCAAGACTGGAGGGGAGGAGCCGGTACATCTGTGCAAGACTGGAGGGGAGGAGCCGCTACACCTGTACTAGACTGGAGGGGAGGAGCCGATACACCTGTGCAAGACTGGAGGGGAGGAGCCGGAGGGAGGATTTAAATATTTCAGGAGATGGAAGCGGTGATCACTGCCCAGTAACCAGCAGCAGCCAGTCAGATACTTCTCTTCTGGGAAGTCACATTCGGTTGCTTCCCCTAATAGTTCCTCCCTGCTTGACCTGCAGAGCCGCAGAACGAGAAGTGAGACTACCCAGATGGGACATATGGCGGTGACGTCATGGCGGCCGCAGAGAAGGAACTCACATTGACTTCCCCGGTCTCGTTCTCCTTCAGCACGAAGCTCAGGGACTTCTCACACGGCCCGGCCAGCAGACGCAGCTTCAGCGGTTCCTCCTCATCTGATAGTTTCCTCTGGCACACTGCGGAGAAACCACAAACATTTCCGGGTTTTACTGCATTTGTTTAACATTTTATATTTTCAAGCTCCCCCCCCCCCCCCACCACACACACTTTTTTAGGGCAGGTTTTCCGGCAGCCCATTGATTTTAATTGGGCCGCCCAACGCACTGCAGCACGCAAAACATACGGCAGGCGGGGCTTTTTTTCAGCGGGCACGTGGGGGAACACAGTTCTGGCACCCCCAGCACTGAATGTATGTAATGGCAAGGGGGTGCTGGGGGGGGTCTACTGATGCTGGCGGATCTATTGTCACTGGAGGGGATCTATTTTTGTGTGGCAGTCTATTGCTGCTGGGGAGGTCTATTGCTCCTGGTGGGAGATCTATTGTTGCTGGGGAGGTCTATTGTTATTGGACGGGATCTGTTTTTATGGTGGTCTGTTGTTGCTGGGGAGGTTTATTGTTCCTGGTGGGAGATCTATTGTTGCTGGGGAGGTTTATTGCTCCTGGTGGGAGATCTATTGTTGCTGGGGAGGTCTATTGTTACTGGAGGGGATCTGCATTTGCATGGTGGTCTGTTGTTGCTGGGGTGGTTTTATTGCTGCTGGTGGGAGATCCATTGTTGCTGGGGAGGTCTATTGTTACTGGAGGGGATCTGTTTTTTTATGGTGGCCTGTTGTTGCTGGGGAGGTTTATTGCTCCTGGTGGGAGATCTATTGTTGCTGGGGGGTTCAATTGCTGCTGGAAGGGATCTACTGTTGGGGAGGGGGTCTATTAATGCTGGGAGATCTGACGTTGCTGTGGGGGTCTAACTACTTAGCACCACAACATGATACTTGTTTCTGTACTTTCTAAAAGAGCGGTACTGAAAGGTGGGTAGGGGGTGGAACCATGGGACAGTGCTTGGAGGATGGGGGGGAGGGGGGCGGGGCAGAGACAAGAAGTGACCTGGGGGGGGGGTCTTTCTGAGAAAAAAAGCCCTGATGGGAGGCACAATATTTTGGCTTCATGCACAACAGCGGTTTTTTTTTTTTGTAGCAAAAAAAAAAAAAAACCTGGAAAAAAGCTGGGAAAAAAAAACTGCTAATAACTGCGATTTTTAGTAGCGTTTAGAAGCGTTAAGTATTTTTTTCTGCTGGAAATACGCTCCGAAAAGCTCGTCACATCGCATGTGATTCGCACGGGAACCGCAGCACATTCATGTGCAAATCACATGCCAATCCTGTGCGGTGCGATTTCTGTCGTACATTTTGTATGGCTCAAATCGCACCGGATCCGCGCCGCAAAGGTACAGGAGCCTTTTTTTGGTCCGCACTAGAATCGGATCGCACGGGTATTCACTCCTATGTGATCCGATTCTGCACATCGCACCGCGTTTCGTGAACCGATTTCAGGGTGTTGTTAACATTCACGCCCGCAGCGGTTCGCATGAACGGGGTGCCATTGTGATGCGGTGCGGAGTCTGCACAGAAAACGCTGCGAATCGCATCAGTGTGAACTCGGGCTGAAGCTCCCAGAACAAACACTGACACCCCGATCGTGATGAAAACTCATGGGGCCCCCCGGCAATAGGAGATCAGGGGGCCCCTGTGTCCTCGCCCACATTCAAACCACACCCAAAAAAGCCTATGAAAGGTACCAGGGGCATCTCATGGGGCCCCTTACTGACCCTGGGCCCTCGGGCAGTGCCCGAGTTTCCGAATGGTCAGTCCGCCCCTGGGTGCAACTTGCCATGCCATGTGACTTGCAAAATCACATGGCAAGTGCCACCCTATTGTCCGTAATTAAAGCGGTCATGTCGGAGCCGCACCGATTTCTAACGTAGTGCGTTCGATACTTCAGGTGCGACTTGCGTAGACATCTAGCCAAGTCGCACCTCGTAGGAATGTCATCTATAAAGCTGATTACATTGTATGACTTGTAAATGATTACATTGTATCTCTTGTTACAGACACCTGTATTTCCTATGCTCCGCGGCTCCATCTAGTGGTGGTATTCTGCTACTGCCAATTATAGGAAAAAGAGAAAATTGCCTACAGAACTTTCCTTTTTGTCTACTTCGCTGACAACGAATGTTCCTGCCGATTCATTGGACCAATGGCTATGCAAATTTTCTTTTTTATAAAGAGCCCCCTTTGTGTTTCCCTCCAAACAATTCCTCTTTCAGCGGGCGTGCGATCTCATGTACTCCTCGGCGCTCCCATCCCCCGTGCAGACTGAGCGCGCTCTGGAAAGAAGTGACCTTTTTATTATAGAAGCGTCTGTGGAGTTTGTTTAGATTCTCCGGGATCCTCTGTGCGATATCATCCTCCACTCTCAGCGGCGGCTCGGAATTAGCAGCGCAATTGTTAGCGTCCTGCGTTCGGGCACAGAACAGGGGGAGGTAGGGGGGGGCACAGTACAGGGGGGGGGTAGGGGGCACAGTACAGGGGGGGGTAGGGGGCACAGTACAGGGGGGGGTAGGGGGCACAGTACAGGGGAGGTAGGGGGGCACAGTACGGGGGAGGTAGGGGGGCACAGTACAGGGGGGAGTCAGGAGGGCACAGTACAGGGGAGGTAGGGGGGCACAGTACAGGGGGAGGTAGGGGGGCACAGTACAGGGGGAGGTAGGGGGCACAATACGGGGGGAGGTAGAAGGGCACAGTACAGGGGAGGTAGGGGGGCACAGAACAGGGGGAGGTAGGGGGCACAGAACAGGGGGAGGTAGGGGGCACAGTACAGGGGGGGTAGGGGGGCACGGTACGGGGGGAGGTAGGGGGGCACGGTACGGGGGAGGTAGGGGGGCACGGTACAGGGGGAGGTAGGGGGGCACGGTACAGGGGGAGGTCGGGGGGCACGGTACAGGGAGGAGGCAGGGGGGCACGGTACAGGGAGGAGGCAGGGGGGCGCGGTACAGGGGAGGCAGGGGGGCGCGGTACAGGGAGGAGGCAGGAGGGCACGGTACAGGGAGGAGGCAGGAGGGCACGGTACAGGGAGGAGGCAGGGGGGCGCGGTACAGGGAGGAGGGGGGCGCGGTACGGGGGAGGCAGGGGGGCGCGGTACGGGGGAGGCAGGGGGGCGCGGTACAGGGGGAGGTAGGGGGCGCGGTACAGGGGGAGGTAGGGGGGCGCGGTACAGGGGAGGTAGGGGGCGCGGTACAGGGGGAGGTAGGGGGGCGCGGTACAGGGGGAGGTAGGGGGGCGCGGTGCAGGGGAGGTAGGGGGGCGCGGTGCAGGGGAGGTAGGGGGGCGCGGTGCAGGGGGAGGTAGGGGGGCGCGGTGCAGGGAGGAGGCAGGAGGGCGCGGTACAGGGAGGAGGCAGGAGGGCTCGGTACAGGGAGGAGGCAGGAGGGCTCGGTACAGGGAGGAGGCAGGAGGGCGCGGTACAGGGAGGAGGCAGGAGGGCGCGGTACAGGGAGGAGGCAGGAGGGCTCGGTACAGGGAGGAGGCAGGAGGGCTCGGTACAGGGAGGAGGCAGGAGGGCTCGGTACAGGGAGGAGGCAGGAGGGCGCGGTACAGGGAGGAGGCAGGAGGGCGCGGTACAGGGAGGAGGCAGGAGGGCACGGTACAGGGGCAGTCAGGAGGGCACGGTACAGGGAGGAGGCAGGGGGGCACGGTACAGGGAGGAGGCAGGGGGGCACGGTACCAGGGAGGAGGCAGGAGGGCACGGTACAGGGAGGAGTCAGGAGGGCACGGTACAGGGAGGAGGCAGGGGGGCACGGTACAGGGAGGAGGCAGGGGGGCACGGTACAGAGAGGAGTCAGGAGGGCACGGTACAGGGAGGAGGCAGGGGGGCACGGTACAGGGAGGAGGCAGGGGGGCACGGTACAGGGAGGAGTCAGGAGGGCACGGTACAGGGAGGAGGCAGGGGTCACGGTACAGGGAGGAGGCAGGGGGGCACGGTACAGGGAGGAGTCAGGAGGGCACGGTACAGGGAGGAGGCAGGGGGGCACGGTACAGGGAGGAGGCAGGGGGGCACGGTACAGGGAGGAGTCAGGAGGGCACGGTACAGGGAGGAGGCAGGAGGGCACAGTACAGGGGCAGTCAGGTGAAATCCAAAGTATTCCAGTTGTTAGAACAGGAATAGAGGAGAAATCTCCCAAAGGGGACACCCATTCCAGTGCCAACTGTTCATAAGGGGATTTCTTTCACCTCGGAAATATTTCTTTTTACTTCCTGCTGTATTTCCAGGACAGGAAGTGACTGAAAATCCAAAATGTTACAGTTGTTAATGGAACAGGAGTAGGGGAGAAATCTCCCTAATGGGGACACCTTTTCTAGTGACAGCTGTCTAAGTGGATTTCCTTTCACCTTTCTATTTCCTGTTGTGTCTTTACGGCAGGGGAAGTGAAGGGAAATCTCCCCGACAGCACAGAGGTTCTAACTATTCCCTGTTCTCTCCAAAGATACAGGTTAAACATTTGTTCCATATTTATATATTATTATTTTTGTTACTATATGTATATAATCTTTGTTTTACAAATGAAATGTATAACACGACAAAGGATTCCCAGAGCCCCACGGGATAGTTTTAAGTGCAAATGGCTGTTTCGAGTCCCATTCTATTTTCTGATTCCCTACATCTTCCAGCTGTGCAAGAATGGCAGTTAGTACAAGCGGCACACCTGGAAGTCACATGATGCCCCCCCCTGCCCCCCCCTATAGTTATAATAGATAGGTTCTCTAGACCGCGCCTACTGAAAGTCGATTCTGGCTCACCTTGCCCCTCCTGATCCGTCCGCTGGAACAGCGCAAACTTCCGCGGGTTGTCGAGCACGGTGAACTTGCGGAGGAGCGCCTGGATGACCTCGCTGGCCGTGGTGCGGGAGCTGAGGTGGAGGTGCTTCGAGGCGTCTTTGGGGAGGTAGAAGGAGGTCCTGCGTTTCACCTGCTGGGAGTTGGCCGACCCCCTCCGTTCCCGGGCGCAGGACGGCTTCTTGGCGGGGGGGACGGACACCGGGCGGACCAGCTTCAGCTGAACTTTGATGAAGCCGGTGTAAGTGCCATCTTTGTTCTGGGAGGGGAGACAGAGGAGGGAAGTCAGTAAAATGTGTAGAAAAGGAGAGAGCGTCCATCTAATGTACATATTATTGTATCTCCACCATCATTTATTATCTGCATTCAAGGAAAATAAAATCCCGACACATTTCAGGGGTTATTGAGACCTTCATCAGGGCTCCAAAATGCTGCACCAGCTCTCACCACCATTAGGGGCAGTGCAGCGACTAATCATTCGCAGCGCTGGGGTCCCAGAATCAGTGCCCAGCAGGTGCTGTTGTGTACGTTACCTGCGGCCACCCCGGTGCCTCCTACAATGCAGCCTATAGATGACTTGTACAGTCATTTCCTCCGGATGAGTAATTGCTTGGCTATATCTGCTTTCAATTCACAAACAGGCGCAATACATGCGACCTCTGTCTGCGTTTTGGACGCGGTTCGCAAATGTCTGTGTGCGCTCAGCACAGATGGCCAACCGTCTGCTGAAGGTCTTTGTTTTTTCATACAGTTGGCGTCTGTCTGTCATTGTGGCCTTGTTATGGTTTCATCTGTCAAATACGTTTCTGTAACATTATCTCCGAATGGCGCCAAAGTGTCCGCAGATCCGCCATTTTCCCGTATTGTGTCCCCATCACGGCCTACACAGCACAGGCCTGTCCTTCTGGGTCCGGGGTTCCCTGTACAGCGCTGCGGTCTATGTCAGAGCTACATACATGTGTACTAATAATAGTGTGTGACTGTGGGGGAGGGGACATTAGAGTGTAAGCTCCTCTGTACAGAGACTGATGGGACTGTGGGGGAGGGGACATTAGAGCGTAAGCTCCTCTGTACAGAGACTGATGGGACTGCGGGGGAGGAGACATTAGAGTGTAAGCTCCTCTGGTACAGAGACTGATGTGACTGCGGGGGGAGGGGACATTAGAGTGTAAGCTCCTCTGGTACACAGACTGATGTGACTGTGGGGGAGGGGACATTAGAGTGTAAGCTCCTCTGGTACAGAGACTGATGGGACTGTGGGGGAGGGGACATTAGAGTGTAAGCTCCTCTGGTACACAGACTGATGTGACTGTGGGGGAGGGGACATTAGAGTGTAAGCTCCTCTGGTACAGAGACTGATGGGACTGTGGGGGAGGGGACATTAGAGTGTAAGCTCCTCTGGTACAGAGACTGATGGGACTGTGGGGGGAGGGGACATTAGAGCGTACGCTCCTCTGGTACAGAGACAGATGTGACTGTGGGGGAGGGGACATTAGAGTGTAAGCTCCTCTGGTACAGAGACTGATGGGACTGTGGGGGAGGGGACATTAGAGCGTAAGCTCCTCTGGTACAGAGACTGATGGGACTGTGGGGGAGGGGACATTAGAGTGTAAGCTCCTCTGGTGCAGAGACTGATGGGACTGTGGGGGAGGGGACATTAGAGTGTAAGCTCCTCTGTACAGAGACTGATGTGACTGTGGGGGAGGGGACATTAGAGTGTAAGCTCCTCTGGTACAGAGACTGATGGGACTGTGGGGGAGGGGACATTAGAGTGTAAGCTCCTCTGGTGCAGAGACTGATGGGACTGTGGGGGAGGGGACATTAGAGTGTAAGCTCCTCTGGTACAGAGACTGATGGGACTGTGAGGGAGGGGACATTAGAGCGTAAGCTCCTCTGGTACAGAGACTGATGTGACTGGGGGGGGGGGACATTAGAGTGTAAGCTCCTCTGGTACAGAGACTGATGGGACTGCGGGGGAGGGGACATTAGAGTGTAAGCTCCTCTGTACAGAGACTGATGGGACTGTGGGGGAGGGGACATTAGAGTGTAAGCTCCTCTGGTACAGAGACTGATGGGACTGCGGGGGAGGAGACATTAGAGCGTAAGCTCCTCTGTACAGAGACTGATGTGACTGTGGGGGAGGGGACATTAGAGCGTCAGATCCTCTGGTACAGAGACTGATGGGACTGTGGGGGAGGGGACATTAGAGCGTAAGCTCCTCTGTACAGAGACTGATGGGACTGCGGGGGAGGGGACATTAGAGTGTAAGCTCCTCTGTACAGAGACTGATGGGACTGCGGGGGAGGAGACATTAGAGTGTAAGCTCCTCTGGTACACAGACTGATGTGACTGTGGGGGGAGGGGACATTAGAGTGTAAGCTCCTCTGGTACACAGACTGATGTGACTGTGGGGGGGGGGACATTAGAGTGTAAGCTCCTCTGGTACAGAGACTGATGGGACTGTGGGGGAGGGGACATTAGAGTGTAAGCTCCTCTGGCACACAGACTGATGTGACTGTGGGGGAGGGGACATTAGAGTGTAAGCTCCTCTGGTACAGAGACTGATGTGACTGTGGGGGAGGGGACATTAGAGTGTAAGCTCCTCTGTACGGAGACTGATGTGACTGTGGGGGAGGGGACATTAGAGTGTAAGCTCCTCTGGCACACAGACTGATGTGAGTGGCTCAGTGTTCCAAGAGCATCGCTATGGTATATGTCAGAGCTATTCAGACTCATTCTTCTCACCATACTCATGAAGAGATTGCTCTTAATCTTGGAGTTGTATTCTTTAATTTTCTGCTCCGTCTCCTTCTGGCTCAGCTCCGGCGTCGGGGTTTGTTTCTCCGGCTTCTCATCCTGAAAAGGAATAAGACAGATTATCAGATTGGGGTCGGAGTTCCCCTTTATCACACCGAACAAACATTCCCACCAAGAATACGCCAAATCATTTTTATGAGCTGTAAAGCAAAAATTCTGCGTGTCTGGAATTCGGGATGTTTAGTTTTACTCCATCGGATCGAATATCAGCAATTTACAGATCCCCATTGGCTGCCATGACATGCTGGGGGTTGTAGTTCCTCTACAGTCACCCCACCACCGACGTAACATAATCATTATTTTCTTTACAGAGTTTAAAAATAAACTTCTCAGATCTGTACTTTCGAATGTTCGCTCGGTCACCTCTGACGGGAACCGGTTCTACCGGCTGCAGATTGTACCAAACGTGTTTTTCCTCCAAACATCCCAGGCAGTGAAAGGCGAAGATTCTCCGCTCCTCGTTTCTTCTAACCAACCCCCCGGGACCGCGCCCCGGACAGACGCAGGAACCGGCGCGGTCACTTCTGTTTGTAGGCTTCCCTGCGTAGGTTTAGATTGACATAAAGCAGCGAATAGAAAGGAGAGAACAATGAAATGTCAGCCATGGATTACTGTGATCTACACGGATAATCAACATGGGCAGCACAGCGGCTAAGTGGTTAGCACTTCCGCCTGGCAGTACTCGGGTCATCGGTCCGAATCCCAACCACGGCAACACCTGCCTGGAGTTTGCATGTTCTCCCTGTGCCTGCGTGGGTTTCCTCCCAGACTCCAAAGACGTGTTGGAAAGTGAATTGGCTCCTGTCTAAATTGTCCCTAGTATGTGTATGTATGAATGTGAGTTAGGGACCTTAGATTGTACTCCCCTGGAGTTTGCATGTTCTCCCTGTGCCTGTGTGGGTTTCCTTCAGGTACTCCAGTTTCCTCCCACTCTCCAAAGACATGCTGGTAGGTTAACTGGCTCCTGTCTAAATTGTGTATATATATATATATATATATATACACACACACACATATATACACACACACCGATATATACACACACACACATATATATATATACACACACACATACATACATACATACACACACATATATATATATATATATATATATATATATGTGTGTGTGTATGTATGTATGTATGTGTGTGTGTGTGTGTGTATATATGTGTGTGTGTGTGTATATATCGGTGTGTGTGTATATATATGTGTGTGTGTGTGTGTATACATTGGGGATCGAAAGTTTGGGCACCCCAGCTAAAAATTTGTATTAATGTGCATAAAGAAGCCAAGGAAAGATGGAAAAATCTCCAAAAGGCATCAAATTACAGATTAGACATTCTTATAATATGTCAACAAAAGTTAGATTTTATTTCCATCATTTACACTTTAAAAATAACAGAAAACAAAAAAAAATGGCGTCTGCAAAAGTTTGGGCCCCCTGTAGAATTTATAGCATGCACTGCCCCCTTTGCAAAGCTGAGACCTGCCAGTGTCATGGATTGTTCTCAATCATCGTCTGGGAAGACCAGGTGATGTCAATCTCAAAGGTTTTAAATGCCCCGACTCATCTGACCTTGCCCCAACAATCAGCACCATGGGTTCTTCTAAGCAGTTGTCTAGAAAACTGAAACTGAAAATAGTTGACGCTCACAAAGCTGGAGAAGGCTATAAGAAGATAGCAAAGCGTTTTCAGATGTCAATATCCTCTGTTCGGAATGTAATTAAGAAATGGCAGTCATCAGGAACAGTGGAAGTTAAAGCAAGATCTGGAAGACCGAGAAAAATATCAGACAGAACAGCTCGCAGGATTGTGAGAAAAACAATTCAAAACCCACGTTTGACTGCACGATCCCTCCAGAAAGATCTGGCAGACACTGGAGTTGTGGTACACTATTCCACTATAAAGAGATACTTGTACAAATATGGTCTTCATGGAAGAGTCATCAGAAGAAAACCTCTTCTACGTCCTCACCACAAAAATCATCGTTTGAACTTTGCAAATGAACATATAGACAAGCCTGATGCATTTTGGAAACAAGTTCTGTGGACCGATGAGGTTACAATTGAACTTTTTGGCCGGAATGAGCAAAGGTACGTTTGGAGAAGAAGGGGCACAGAATTGAGTGAAAAGAACCTCTGTCCAACTGTGAAGCATGGGGTTGGATCAATCATGCTTTGGGGTTGTGTTGCAGCCAGTGGCACAGGGAACATCTCACGAGTAGAAGGAAAAAATGGATTCAATAAAATTTCAGCAAATTTTGGATGGTAACTTGATGCCATCTGTGAAAAAGCTGAAGTTAAAGAGAGGATGGCTTCTACAAATGGATAATGATCCTAAACACACCTCGAAATCCACGGGGATTACATCAAGAGGCGTAAACTGAAGGTTTTGCCATGGCCTTCACAATCTCCTGACCTCAACATCATTGAAAATCTATGGATAGACCTTAAAAGAGCCGTGCGTGACAGACAGCCCAGAAATCTCAAAGAACTGGAAGACTTTTGTAAGGAAGAATGGGCAAAGATACCTCAAACAAGAATTGAAAGACTCTTGGCTGGCTACAAAAAGCGTTTACAAACTGTGATACTTGCCAAAGGGGGCAGTACAAGATATTAACTCTGCAGGGGGCCCAAACTTTTGCAGATGCCATTTTTTTGTTTTCTGTTATTTTGAAAGTGTAAATGATGGAAACAAAATCTAACTTTTGTTGACATATTATAAGAATGTCTAATCTGTAATTTGATGCCTTTTGGAGATTTTTCCATCTTTCCTTGGCTTCTTTATGCACATTAATACAAATTTTTAGCTGGGGTGCCCAAACTTTCCATCCCCACTGTATGTATATATATTGTGTGTGTATGTATGTATGTATATATATGTGTGTGTATGTATGTATGTATATATATGTGTGTGTATGTATGTATGTATATATATGTGTGTGTGTGTATATATATATACACACACACACATACAGTATATCAGCCTGTGTGCCGGTCCTGCCCGGAGGGTCCCCCCCCCTTCCATCCTTCCCCCTCTTGCTGAGTATTGCATCAGTCTGTGGGGCAGGGAAGGGGGGGGGGGGGGGGTGAGGCAGCTGCGTTGGCCCTTCTTTGCCGGAATCTCCTCACTCTTTCCAGCCCGGCACAAAGTTTGGCTGAGATGGAATATTTATGAAGCCCAGACTCCGGAAAAGCCTTCGGAAGGAAACGGAGAACACGCCCGGCTCCCATCTATATATAGATCTGTGTCGGCTCCTGATCCCGGGTTCACACTGGTGTGGAATTTGCGGCGGTTTCCATGCGAGTTCCACACCGCATCACGATCGCACCCCGTGCATGCGAACCGATACGGGGGTGTTTAAGTTAACACCCCCCAAAATAGGTCCGCAAAACGCAGTGTGATGTGCAGAATCAGATGGCAGAGGTTGGACTACTCGTGTGATCCGATTCTAGTGCGGACCAAAAAAAGCGTCCTGCGCGTTTTTGGTGCGATTAGAGCCAAACATAATGTACGCCTCCCACCGCACCGCACACACATCACGTGATCTGCAGGGAATGCGGTGCGGTTCTGTGTGAATCACATGTGATCTGCAGGGAATGTGGTGCGGTTCCTGTGTGAATCACATGTGATCTGCAGGGAATGCGGTGCGGTTCCTGTGTGAATCACATGTGATCTGCAGGGAATGCGGTGCGGTTCTGTGTGAATCACATGTGATCTGCAGGGAATGCGGTGCGGTTCTGTGTGAATCACATGTGATCTGCAGGGAATGCGGTGCGGTTCCTGTGTGAATCACATGTGATCTGCAGGGAATGCGGTGCGGTTCCTGTGTGAATCACATGTGATCTGCAGGGAATGCGGTGCGGTTCCTGTGTGAATCACATGTGATCTGCAGGGAATGCGGTGCGGTTCTGTGTGAATCACATGTGATCTGCAGGGAATGCGGTGCGGTTCTGTGTGAATCACATGTGATCTGCAGGGAATGCGGTGCGGTTCCTGTGTGAATCACATGTGATCTGCAGGGAATGCGGTGCGGTTCCTGTGTGAATCACATGTGATCTGCAGGGAATGCGGTGCGGTTCTGTGTGAATCACATGTGATCTGCAGGGAATGCGGTGCGGTTCTGTGTGAATCACGTGATCTGCAGGGAATGCGGTGCGGTTCTGTGTGAATCACATGATCTGCAGGGAATGCGGTGCGGTTCTGTGTGAATCACATGATCTGCAGGGAATGCGGTGCGGTTCTGTGTGAATCACGTGATGTACCACACCGCATGTATGTGATCCCGGCCTGAAGTGTAATAATACGTTCTTGAATTTGCATTTTCTTTTGTTTTGAAGTTGTTCTTTTTTTTTTTTTGCATTTCAGCATAACTTTGTTCTGCTTTTTGGGTGTAGCATCATACAATGCATGGAAAACCGGTTTTCTGCCGCCCCATACGTGTTACAATCCGATCATACAATGCATGGAAAACATGTCTTCTGCCGCCCCATACGTGTTACAATCCGATCATACAATGCATGGAAAACCCGTCTTCTTCCGCCCCATGCGTGTTACAATCCGATCATACAATGCATGGAAAACCGGTTTCTGACGCCCCATGCGTGTTACAATCCGATCATACAATGCATGGAAAACCGGTTTCTGACGCCCCATACGTGTTACAATCCGATCATACAATGCATGGAAAACATGTTTCTGCCGCCCCATACGTGTTACAATCCGATCATACAATGCATGGAAAACATGTTTCTGCCGCCCCATACGTGTTACAATCCGATCATACAATGCATGGAAAACATGTCTTCTGCCGCCCCATACGTGTTACAATCCGATCATACAATGCATGGAAAACATGTCTTCTGCCGCCCCATACGTGTTACAATCCGATCATACAATGCATGGAAAACATGTCTTCTGCCGCCCCATACGTGTTACAATCCGATCATACAATCAAGCTTTACCATAAGTAATGTGAGGACCAACTTGAGACAATATCAATACCCAATCAATCTCTGGGGCGGATTTACTAAAG